TAAAGACTTCCTCTTCATGGAATCTGTCATTTCATTCTTTCTGTTATCCTAGGAAACAGGTCTTTATAATGACTTCATTTTAGGAGGAGAAGAAAATAGGGGCCCAGAGAGGTTACAAGAACTCATCAGAGGGAGCTTGGTTCTTGGAATCGAGCCATCTCAGTCCTGGATGCTGCTCACTCTAACCACTGTGCCCCCTGCCCGACTCACTACCGCTTCATCAGGACCAGAGCACCGCTGCCAACGGCTTCCTGTTCCAATGCTCGGCTCACGGTTTTAAGTAATATCTGATATACAATTCCAGTTTGACAAGATAATTTTGATAGGCCCCTGAGTTAGTTATAATGAGGTCTAAGTAGTTACATTCCACAGGAATGATATAGAATGATGGTCCTGGAAAAATGAGGTAATGCAACTTAAATTATTATTTTCATTTTCTTTCTCTTACTAGATGCAGTCTTGAAACATTTTTTCAAACCTGTTGTTTTCTGTTATTGTAACAACTACAAGGGACATTTTTTTTCTTTGATTTACCACCTCTCCCCAGATTTCTCCTTAATTATTACGCTGCTTGACTGAGCCTCTCTTCCACTGATGCCCCTAAAACCCACCCAGAGAAATGATTGCCAATCTGGCGTACATCCTTCTAGATCTTTCAAAAGTAGTTATATATCAGTGGGTGAGATGTCTCATCAGACACCAGGCCCAGCATAACCCGTGTTAGAACCCTGGAATCCACAGGAGAAAGAGAGAACTGACCTCCACATGCTGTTCTCTGACCTATACATACACACACACACACACATACATATACACACAACACACATATCACACACACCATATATAGACCATATATACACACACCACATGCCATCCATACACACCACACACACACACCTCACATATCACACACACCATACACACCACACACACATACACATACACCACACATATCATACACACCATACACACCACACACATACACACACCACACACATACTTACACACAACACACATATCACATACACCAAACATACATACACACATCACACACACATACACACCACCCATATCATACACACCATACACACCACACACATACACACACCACACACATACATACACACACCACACATATCACATACACCAAACATACATACACACATCACACACACACACACACACCACCCATATCACACACACCATACACACACTACACACGCCCCTCAGCAACCGCCTTCCCAGGCTTTTACCCTGCTGCCTCTCATCTAGGCTCAGAGTTCTTCTAGGACTCACCGGCAAACCAAACCTAGCAGAATTGTTAAGATCAAGATTCAGTTAGAGACCATGCCTCAAAATAAATAAGGTGAAAAAGGATTGAAGAAGACACTCAATGTCAACATCTGGCCTGCACACACATGGGCGTTCATACATACATACATACATAAGCATAACACTCACAAAATTTCTCATAAATAGAAAAATTAACAGTTTTTTAACCTAAAAAGTAAATGCCTTAGGATAAAAACTCCTATAATTCTAGAGACTGCAGTGCAGAAATGGCTCAGTGGGCAACAGTGTTTGTTGTAGTGAGGACCTAAGTTTGGATCCAAAAACTCATGGAAAAAGTTGAGCATGGCTGCACGCATCTGCAACCCCAGAGATGGGGCGGGGGCGCAGAGACCGGCTGTCAACCCAGCTCTAGGCACAATGAAAAATTCATCTCGGAGGAATAATGTGGAATGTGATAGGACCGACATCTCACACCCAACGTCTTCTCTGCATACTGAACACAGGTGCATGCACCTGCATACACTACACACGCGTGCGCACAGACACACACACATGCACACACATACACACGCACACTCACACAGAGCAGAGAGAGGATTCTAATTCTAAAAATGCAATGATCCATGAATCTCCATAAATAACATCATAACAGCCCCCAGCACATTATTCCAGAGCCGAATATTAATGATTCGGGGGTTATAACTTTGTCCACCCATCACTAGCCAGGCTATTCAAGAGCTGGAAACTGAGAGCGGCTCTGTATCGGGTGTGCGGGTGGAAAGTGCAGGAGAGATGAATAAGGAAGAGAGATAAAAAGCTCTTCAAAACCGTTTTAGCCCTTAGAGCAAATAAGTAGACCCAGGCAGCTCTCTCGACTGTCTTCCAAGGGTGCGCGGGAAGCTCAAGGGCTCTTCTGGCTCTGACCAAATATTGACCCAGTTGCACTCTCTGCCAAGGGATCTCAGGGGCCAACAGCACATGAGCTAATGTTTGCAGAGAAATTACAGCAGCCCAGTGCCTGGCAGGCCAGGTTGTGAAACAGCCCCCAATGGAGCCAGAGCCTGGGAGCTTTCCTGTCCTTCTTTGGTGGCGCTAGGGGAGACATGTCAAATGACAAGACAACTTTAAAGGGGCATTTGTGGCCCCTTGCCTGCCTCCTGCCTAACTTGACTACATCTTCAAACTCACCCTTTAGAACCAAGCATACAGACGTGGCCATGAACCCATCCCCTGATCAGCTGTCCCTCTCCAGCTCACGGAGAGTTGAGTAGTAAGTTATCCTTAGAAGAAAACGCCCTTGCCTTTCCCGTTTCCACCTCAACATCTGGAGTCTAACCTGGCTTTCGGAGGCGCTTTGGGACAGCTGTTTCAATGGGCATGCTCAGTTGACAAGTTGCTGGGGATAGAATCAAGCGTTTACCTGCGAAGTCATCTTGTCAGACCAGCAACCCCAATAAATGAGAAAGTCATGAAAACAAGGGAAGAAATTAATGCCACAAAGATTAAACGAATGCCACGGAACTCGTTCTATGCAAGTAACTGCTACACTGTACTGTTTAGGGAATATTGACAAAGAAAAGAATCTGTACACACTCAGAATGGAAGCCAAAAATTAATGTTTTCCTTTTTTTTCTAAAGACACGGTCTCAAGTAGCCCAGGCTGCCCTCTAGCCATATAGCTGAGGATGGCCTTAATTTCCTTATCCTCCTGCTTTACCTCCCTAGTGCTGAGATTATAGGTATTTGCTACCATGCCTGGCTTGAAAGTATCTTTGGGGCCAGAGGGATGGCTCAGCAGGTAAAGATGCTTGCTGCCGAGCCTGGGGGCTGGAGCTCAATCCCTGGAACCCACATAACAGACAGAGAAAACTAACTCCCTCAAGATGTCCTCTACCCTCCACATGTGGCAGACACATGCCCACCACAAATAAATAAATACCTCTGATCTGAAACTAACTGAGCGTACGGATGTACACACAGGGCTAGAGGATGAGCCACACAGACAAGCCTGGCCGCAAGCACAGTCATTCCAGGACCAGGGCCAGCACATCACAGAGCTACTCCAAGCTTGCATCCCTTCTCACAGTGATAGGAGGAAGAGAGTCCTAGAGTAGGGTGGGGGTGGGTGGGGGGCAGCATTCCTTTCTTGTGAGAGACTATAACTTGGGAGGGGGTGGGACCAGAATAGAAATTCTGATTTGGAAGTTTCCCCAGGCTTCTAGACTCCTTCCAACTCATCAATGAGTCCTTTCAGGGTCCACACTCGGCCCCACTGCATTATCATTTCCTGTCCCCACACACTGTACCCATTGATGGGGTGTGGGCAAATCCCACCAGCTTATCCTGGAGAGACCAAAGGAGACTGAGCAGGACCGAGAGGAGATGAGGCAGACGGCAGGAGCCGAGGGAGCCCACTCCCACACACAGTGACACAGCCAGTCCCACACCGTTGAACCTGAAGGACCCATAATCTGAGAACGTGGTGTTTTTTAAAGGCTTGTCTCATAAACGGAGAGATAGGATCATGAGATAAAAGCAAGTATCAATGCACAAACAGATAGGCCTGCATCTGCCTCTCCAAGACGGTCTACTGCTAAGGGGCTAAAGGGAAGGACTGGCTGCTGGCTGCGAAGGCTAGGCACGAATTTCTCTCCTTTGTGTGTGGGTCTAAATTACACTCACATCCTAAGGAAGAACCTGAGTATCTCAGCTTTCCCTTACAGACAGAGGAAGGGTGTTGCCCATTCACAGTGATACACAACGGTGACACCTCGCCCCCACCCTGCTAGGGTTCATGTCTATGCTCTAAGACGCTCTACCTCTGGGCATTCTGATTGGCCCAGAGAAGGTGCAATCAAAGTCAATCAAAGTCTTCCTTGGGATTTATCAACTTGGAACAGGGAGACAGTCAGTGTCTACGGTGTTGATATGATATGAAATTCAAGAGCGATTGCCAGCTAAGTTCTTCAGCAGAGACAAGACAGGAAGAGCTGAGCCTAGTCTGGGCTTTGCGGAAGCCTTCATTGCCCCTGTGTCCTCCTCGCCATCTGGTCAATTGCATGAGCTTCTCGTATCTAAGCCAGTGTGACCGTAAAATAGTCACTTGTCACCCAAAGACCCTAAAATGAATCAGCCCGCATCAGAGAGCTGTGTTTTATTATAATGTGTGACTGTATTACTATCTCGCTCAAGGAACATGCCTGTATGGATTAGAGACACACACCATCTACACGCACGAACTGGGTGGCAAGTACCTTGTTTGGGTAGCCAGGCAGACCCGGCGGTATGCCCAGCATGCAGTTCTATAAATTGCTTATTTTGTTTTGGTCTCCTCTGTGTGTTTGTTTTTCTTTACTAGCAATGATCAGTGGTTTGTGTCTCTTCATGGATGTTTACAGAGAAGTCACTCGGACTAAGGACCCACAACAGCCTTCTGGCCTCCGCATGGTTTCCACCCCAAGGCCAAGCGAGAATGACAAAGCAAGACTGTGAAGGCCCATCATGGAAAAGGACAAAACCCGAGTGTCTGCATGCAACAGTCGGGACAGCAACAAGTCTGGCGGCTCTGTGGGGATTCCCTCAGCTGCCCCTCGGTGCCAGGTTGGATTCTGGCCCTTAGCTCTTTTCAGGCTCTCCAGTGGAATGTGGGCATGAAAGACAGGATCCCATTAGGGGCTCAGGCCAGCATTTGGCTCTGGTCAACTCACCTGCAGGTCAAAGAACTTGCTGTATCTCCGGTAGATAGTCTGGGAGGTGGAGTCGGACCAGGTCACGTTGATAATATACACCTGCAGGAGAAGGAAGAGTGGGTGAGCGGATGAGCGAGACTGGGGTCCAAGGGGGGTCAGGTGTTGTTTAATGTTGCTGTAGGAGGGCCACAGCCAAGACCATCGTTTTCTCATCTGTCACCAGAGCCTGGCTCACCGTCAAGGACCATGTGGACGATAGCTACAATGTATGTCAATACTCTCCCTCTCTAAATACCTGAAGAAGCATTCACTAAAAAGAAAATCTAGATTCTCTTTGTAGAAGATTAAAACAAACGGTTTAAGTATCATTTTGTTAGTATGTGTTGTAGGTAATAAACATAAATTTGAGGCCATTATATTTTTTTTAAATTATTTGTTTGTTTGTTTTGGTTTTTCGAGACAGGGTTTCTCTGTAGGTTTGGAGCCTGTCTTGGAACTCACTCTGTAGCCCAGGCTGGCCTTGAACTCACAGAGATTCACCTGTCTCTGCCTCCCAATTGCTGGGATTAAAGGCGTATGCCTCCACCATCTGGCACTTTTTTTTTTTAAAAAAATAGCTGATTTCCACTGGTCCTCAAACTTCAGAGTGAATGAGATTTTTAAGAGGGCTCTTCCCAAATTGCAGGTCCATGATCCTCATTTTTCAAAACTCCCCAAGGGCAGACCTGACCTCAGGAGACCTAGCCAGGTTACTCCACCACAGTCCAGCACTCCCTCTGGAAGCTTCTGGAAACCATAAAGATTTCAGAAATGTGTGGCTCAACTCAGCCTCCTGACGATAGGCTTACTGCCCTTCACAGAGAATGTACAGAGAGGATTGTTACACTGACCAAGAAGCTGACGAGTCTGGCACAAGTATTGACTTCACAGACGAGGTGGGATGGAGCACACGGAAGTTTCTCCTTGGGTGCCTCACAGGGCAAGCACATCAAGTCCAGGGTGCTCCTGGGAAGCTACCCAGGGCTGCAGCTTCAGGCCACCACTAAAGGCTACCTGGTTCAGGAGGTCTCTGGGGGAGAGGAGAAAGCGCCTTGTCCACACAATGTGGCTTGTTCCAGATCTACACGGGGCCAGAGGCCCCGAGACTGCACACAGTCTCCCCTGTGATCTCCCCTGACACAGGAGGGGGGGACACAAAATCTCCCACATCTGAATGTCCATCAGAATCACTCCAGAGCTGCAGACATTCAGGTTTGAGGCTTCTGGTGTACGACTCAGACACCAGTGGTCTGTGGGGCTCTTCTAGTGAAAACCTCCCTGTCAGAGAAGCCAGGGCCTGGGCTAAATGAAGAAGGAACTTCAGCAGAGAGAAGCAGTCAGACTGGCGCAACTCCGCAGATGGGGAGATCAGAACTTGCACACAACCGTGCAGAGGAGGCCTGGTGCTTGGTAGCTCAGTCAAGGCTACACTCTCTGAATCCTGTTTCTCACCCCTTCCGTGCTACGGCGGTCAGTGTGCTGGTTTGAATGAGGATGGCCCCCATAGGCTCATATATTTCATTGCTTTGGTCCTCAGTTTGGGAGAACTGTTTGGGAAAGATAGGGGTGGAGGGGGTGCGTCACTGGGGCAGACTTTGAGGGTTCAGATCACTCACTCCATTCTCAGTTGTGGGTCTCACTTTCCACCTTGTGGTTGTGGATCAAGACGTGATCTCTCAGCAGCTGCTCCGGCTGCCTTCCCAGCGCCTCTGTTCTACCACCACAGACTCTCAACTCTCTGAAATCATATGCCCAATTAAGTGTTTTCTTTTCTAAGGTGTCTTGGTCATGAAAGATAACCAAGGAGAGCACCTAAAGTCAGAAATCAGGAGGAATGTCCCCACCCAGAGATGATGAGCAGAAGTCCTGGTAAGAAAAACATTAAATAAAAGGCAGCCCTGCCCATATGAGCTCAGAATAAACTACTGGCTTATTGTATTACATATGAGTTGGGTACAGTGGCTACACATTCGTCCAGCATATTTGAGGCCTTGGGCTTGGGTCTCAGCAGTGAAAACAGTAATTCTTTTTAAAGCCAGGCACAATGGTAGGCACTGATAATTAGTATTTGAGAGGTGTTGGCAGGGTAATCAAGAGTTCAAGGTCAGCCTGAGCTACGTAAGACCACGTCAGAGGAAAAAAACATAAATAAGTACACGGACCGACACACAGGCAGACAGGTATACGTGCATATGCTCCGTTTTATGCCATATGCAAACACTTATCTCATACAATAATTATTACAAAATCTTTAGACAACTTAATGATAGATAGCTTGTGTTCAGGTAACTAAGTTACTATATGCCAATATGGCATAAAGAATTACATGTATCGGCTCACTTATTCTTCTCAATGATTATCCCTATACGGTGTAGGAGGAAGGCGAGGCTCAGGGATGCTAAGTAGTAAAGTCACACAGCTAATAAAATTCAAAGTAGAAGACTTGGACCAAATCTGAGTCCTTTCCCCATCTCTTCAGCATCCCGGAGATTTAGTTTTCTGCCGCTGCCTGAAGCAGGGCAAATTATTTTTTTTTATTGATTTTTATTGAGCTCTACATTTTTCTCTCCTCCCTTCCCCTTCAACCCTCTCCCAAGGTTCCCCCTCCCCATGCACCCAATTTACTCAGGAGATCTTGTCTTTTTCTACTTCCCATGTAGATTAGATCTATGTATGTCTCTCTTAGAGTCCTCATTGTTGTCTAAGTTCTCTCTGTTTGTGATTTGTGGGCTAGTTTTCTTTGTTTTATGTTTAAAAACCACATTTGAGTGAGTATATGTGATAATTGTATTTCTGGGTCTGGGTTACCTCACTCAAAATAATGTTTTCTAGCTCCATCCATTTGCCTGCAAAATTCAAGCTGTCGTTATTTTTTTTCTGCTGTGTAGTAATCCATTGTGTAAATATACCACATTCTCCTTATCCATTCTTTGATCAAGGGCATTTAGGCTGTTTCCAGGTTCTGGTTATGACAAACAATGATGCTATGGACAGAGTTGAACACATGTCCTTGTGGCACAATTGAGCATCCTTTGGATATATACCCAAAAGTGGTATTACTAGGTCTTGAGGAAGGTTGCTTCCTAATTTTCTGAGAAACCAAGACAGGGCAGATTATAAACACTAGACATTGATTTGGTTCTCGAGGCTGGGAAGTCCAAGAGCACGGTGCTGGCAGAGGTGGAGAGTCGTTCTAGGCACGAGAGGGAGGGGTGAGCGAGGAAATGGGACTAAGCTCATCCTTTTTACCATGAACCCAGCTCCATGACAAGGGCATGAATCCATTCCGGAAGGCTGTGGCCTATCTAAAGTTCCCTCCTCTTCCTATCCCTACAACGGTAATTAAATTGTAATCTTGGAGAGAACATTTATTCAGCAGTCACAGGCCTATTTCTCTATAGGTGAATTTAGGTCTGTGGGCATTTAAAACAAATAACTTGGTAAGAATAAACATCTTTGCTGGGCAGTGGTGGCACACGTCTTTAATCCCAGCACTCCGGAAGCAGAGGTAGGTAGATTTCTGTGAGCTTGAGGCCACCCTGGTCTACAAGAGCTAGTTCCAGAACAGGCTTCAAAGCTACAGAGAAACCCTGTCTTGAAAAACCACACACACACACACACACACACACAAAACCCACAAAAAAAAATCCAAAACAAAACAAATCTTTGAAAGCTTCATTCAAATGGCTGGAAAAGTCTGGATACCTTTTTGGAGGGAAGGGGCCTAAAGCAATGGTTCTCAACCTGTGGCTCATGACCCCAAAAGATATTTAAATTACAATTCATAACAGCAGCAAAATTACAGTTAGGAAGTAGCAACAAAATAATTTTATGGTTGGAGTCACCACAGCACTGGGAAGGTTGAGAACCACTGCCCTCGAGGAACAAGGAAGAGTCAAAGGCGCACTGAGAGCCAACCAGAGACAGAACTTGGAGAATCAGACAAATCAGTGACGCAGTAAAAGCTGGTCAACCCTCAGACCTTGCAACTCCCAGCTACTGTGGAAGAGGAGCTGGGCTTTCTTCACCAGGGTCAAAAGCACCCTACTGCTCCCTCCACTCTTTCACCTGAATATCCCCTTGCTGTGGTCCCTAGACAGGGAGCAGATGTAGCCACGCCCACCAGAGAAGACGGAACAAGGTGAGCTGCCTCCAGGTCATTAAAGTCCACCTTTCTCCTGGGCCTGTGAAGCAGAGCTGAGGAAGGACTTAACTGGGGCTTAACACCTGTGCTCCTTCCTGTGTGGTAATTAGTGGCTGCCCTTTCACCTCCCAGGGAGAGTAAATCACAGGCTGGGGCCTGGCTGCTGGAAGATGCAGGCAGGCCTGGTAGTTGGTGCAGGAATTGCACATGTTAAGAGCCGCTTTTATCTCAAGTCAGAGGCTTGTCAAGTAAGGAGAGAATTCTGGAGCCAGCCCTGGCTGGATCTCACTCGTAGTACCCACTACATTAGCTGGGAGACTCCAGACACTCCCACCCCCAGGTGTTTCCCAACTGCTGCAACATGCCAGAGGTCCCCAGCCTTGGAACTAGTCACCACCCTCCCATAGATGCGACCAGAGATCTGAAGACGAACTCCAGACCCGTCCTCTCTTCTTGACAAGATGCTTGCTATCTGCCTGGATTTCTTCCCCGCCTTAGCCTAGATTATCACTCCAGATGAGCGACGGATGTGCAGCATTCCAGCCTCACCCTAGCAACCCCATCCCAACACCAGAGCTTCTTGAAGACCTCCGGGCTGGTCCTGCTTTAGAGATAACTACGGAGAAAGAGCAGGTGTTGGGGGGAGAGGGCAGAGGTCACTGGAGAAAGCCAGCTCTGTTTACCCGCACAGATAAAGCCCCTCTGGTTTCAGAAGCTGCCAGATAACATTACCCAGTAGCTGGACTTCAAGAAAGGGCTGGCAATTAAACACCATGCTTCCAAACACAGTTACGGGGGCTTATGTTTCCTGTGTGGCGTTTCCCTTCCTCCTGGATTTTAAAAATGCACGGATTCCATTTCAAGGGCTCAAGTCGCTTCAGGCAGATGGCAGGCAACCAGGAAACCTCCTCAGAGA